GGCTTTTTTTCTTGGTAAAAATCCCAATAAGAATGTACTATTTGTTTTTTTTTTGCAACAGTACTTCTTGGGACATGGTTCATACTCTTTTTTTACCATTCCACATACTGTGTAGTGTATGAGGAGTCACCAGAAAGTGCCCTGGTCCCTTCTTTGTGTGAATACTCTGCATTTTTTTATGTTACATACTTCTTGGGCTTAAACAACAGCAAATTTTTTTAAATAAGTTTATGAATCGTTGAGGACTTATTAGTTTTTTTTTTGGCTGTATTAACTTCACGACATTGAACAGTTGAATTTTTTTACAGACCTTTACTTAAGATTTGACTTGTTTTTCCATATAGAATTTAAAAAATAATACAGTCACAACTTTCAAAAATGTTTTTTTTTCATCATGACTGCTAGTACACTATGTAAATGAGATTTTTTTGACCTTACTCCAAAAAAAAAAAACACACACCACAATTTTTTTATGTGTGGCAGTGTCAAAGTTTGAAAGATGTATTGTTTTTTTATTTATAACAAATACCGAGGCTGGCTTTTGAAACCTCATTTTAGTGCTTTGTGTCCAGTAGTGCTGTGATACCGACCATAACATCCTGCCATTTTGGAAAGTTTTGTAGCAAGATCATGTTTTTTTTCTGTACATCACAATACAYTGTTATTTCCCTTCTTTTTTTTTTTTCAGTGTTTTTCTTTTTTCTAATTTTACACAATTTTTTTTTGTTATTTACACTAAGAATTTCAGGATTTGATTCTTTTTTTTAATAATTTATCATAAAAAACAGTTAATGGCAGTAATTTTTTTTAGTGGCCCCAGTGAACCTATCAATATTCAATATATTTTTTTAATTACATTCACATCGATACATTGAAAAGATTACTTTTTTTTACCTTAAAATCATGTGGAATTCTATCAGATGTTGTTTTTTTTCCTGTTTGAAATGTGGTATTGTTATAGCTTGTTGATTTTTTTGTGCTATTATTGCTTGCTGGAGATGTGGTGCTATTTTTTTTTGCTGGAAATGTGATGCTATTATTACTGGCTGGAGATTTTTTTCTATTATTGCTTGCTGGAAATGCAACATAGCCATATTTTTTTGGTGATGCAATGCTTGTTGGAGAGATCGCACCGTTTTTTTTTTTTRAAGTTGTTCCTTCATGTTGATTGCTTTTTCTTTTTTTTGATGTAGCACCCATTTTCTTGTCTGTCAACTGTGGTTTTTTTGTAGAAAATATTAAAATCAAGGAGAGGCTTTGTTTTTTTTTTTAGTCAACCACAGTTTGTTTAGATGCAGGATATAATTTTTTTTTTTGATCGACTGTAACAATCTATCAACATTTCATTTTTTTTTATATGTTAATAAGACTGTAAAACAATTTATGATTTTTTTTTTGATAGTTGGAAGCCTTTAAAGTGCAAATGAACTCTTTTTTTTCCAAAGTTCAGGAAAACCACCATAAAAAAATAAAATATTTCTTGGTGCATTCATGGAAATCGGTTAAAAGTTCGTTTTTTTTTGAATCATTAAAGTTAAAAAATTTTCGATAATTCCCAAATGGCCGCCAATTATCATAGGGGCCTGAATCGAGCCTAGTGTGACGTCAACTAAGGAACCAACGTTCTCACATCGCTTGATATATTGACAAAATATTATCTAATGTTGGCTTATAATTCTAAGGCGTTTGTAACAGTAATGAATAGCTTATAATCTCCACCATTTACTTTGAAATTCCCCGGAAATGTAAGAGACGATTCCTTAGTTGACGTCATATTCGCACCAGGCCCCTGATTTCAAAGAGAGCACATTTTTCGAACTGGCGGGAAATTCAAAATAACGATAAACATCGTTTTTTTATCCAATTCAAAATATTTTTGCGGTATGTTACTATTTTTTTTCGATAGATTATCCTACAATTTAGAACAACTGGAGTTTTTTTTCACTTTAACTGCTTTATTAATTTCTTGCATTTTATTTTTTTTAATTTGACTCGATAGATATTACAAAACAAAGCATTTTTTTTTATTCTTGTTTTTTCACTGTCCCCTGGTAAAAAAGCTTTTTTTCTGCATATCTTAGTGGTCACTTTACAATATACCTTTTTTTTTAAAAGGTATAGTGATCATTTTTGGTTAGGTTTTTATTTTTTTTGTTGAGTATTCTTTAACTTCCCGATCGGCATGTCTTTTTTTTCACTGTTCTGAGCTTTGCTTCTATTGAATAGTCTCTGTTGTGGTAAGCTTATTCTTGTTTAAGCTTGCATGCAATGTTTTTTTTTAAGTGTTAAAGTTAAAATGGATTTCTGACCAAATTTTTTTAAACMTTATTCTTAATACACTTCGTACTATTGTGATTTTTTTCATTTTATACAACGAGCCTAAAATTCGCTTTAAAATTTTTTTGAAACCGACCAAAGTACCAGTACCAACCAACGCTATTTTTTTCACACCGTACCGCTCATGCACTGCTAGCATTTCTTTTTTTTTTCAGTTGAAATGTACACAACTGTCGACGAAAGTAGCATAGTTTCATAGATAACTTCACGCATTCTTTTCCTTACCTCTTTTTTTTATTCTTGACTTCTTTAAAGCATTTTTCAGATGATTTTTTTTCTTCTCCTGTCTTTCTCAAAAGATGACAAAAACTCTTTTTTTTTTCCGAGAACTCACGTCTTTTGCTCTCAGCACGCATGCTCTATATCAATCCACTTCCGGTTTCTTAAATTTCTGCTGGATGGTTTCGATTGACATTTCTAAAATATTTAGGATACTACTTTTTTTGTGATTGGTCGAAAACCATGTTTGATTACAGTTTCTTTTTTTTTTAGGATACTACGCGCGCTGTGATTGGTCGAAAATTTTTTTTGATTACAGTATCAAATTCCTACACTTCTCTCGTGTTTTTTTTACATCCCGCGTGTTTTGATCAGAGTATCAAACACTTTTTTTCGTCTTTTATTCCTTAAATAAAGAAACCTAAGCTATTTTTTTTTGTCATTTTTCAATTTGACTGGCTTGGATTTATATTTTTTTAATGATTTTCAAGTTGTTATCACGCGATCCCTTTGTTTTTTTAGGTCAAAGAGTATCAAAGTTTGTCTTTGGATTTTTTTTTTTAATCATTTGGCGTGACAGTAATATGTAACACCCCATTTTTTTCATTGCACAATGTTGAAGATGTAACAGAGCAAGCTTGAACCAGCTGTCAGTACAGATAATACAAACTGGAATAAATATTTTTTTTGAGATAAGTAGATGTGATTTTTATTTCGATTAAATTTTTTTATGGACTTCTGTGATCAAATTCTTTTGACTATATCTTTTTTTCTCGATAGTACTGTCTTTATACTATATCAGCTGATATCAGCTGAAACTACAGCTTCAGTTATCAGTCGTATCAAAAATTTTTTTTGCTTGAAATCGAGGCTAATGCGGACAGACCTGGATTTTTTTTTCAAGCCTCGATGTAAGCACAGCGTTATTATTCATTTTTTTTTGCCCGCTTAGCTGACGAACCCTTTTCTCCGAACTTTTTTTTTTTGTACTTTTGAACTATAGAGTTAAATTCTTTCTTTTTTTTGAAGTCTTTTGCTTTACGCTTGTTGCTTCGTTTTTTTTTTTGATTTACAAGTTTATTTTCTTGAACTTTACTGATTTTTGGCTTTGGTATCTTTTTAGTACCATCAAAAGATCTTGGGTTTTTTTGTAAATTTTTCCTATTAGGACCGCTATTCTTCGCATTTTTTTATTTCTTTGTATTAACTTTACCTTCTTTGTTACTTTGTTGTACTATTGAATTTTTGGACGCCTTTTCTTGATTTTCCTTTTTTTTTTTATTYCTTCGTTGTTTCCTCTTTTCTCTCCTCCGCATTACCTTTTCCTGTCGTTGTTCTTTATTTGTCTTAGCTTTGCCCTCCCCTCCTGGTGTTTGACTCTGTTTGGATTTACATTTTTTTTCTCTCTGCTGCCTCGCTTTCAAGGCGAGGCTGTTTTTTTTTTAAAATTCAACGATAGGTCTTCGATTTGGTCCAAATTTTTTTTGATTGTTATTAGTTGATCGCAAGGCCGTGAGTGCGTTTTTTTGGTTAGTAAATTCTATAAAAGCAAAACCCAAAGAACGTCCCTTTCCTGTGCTATCAAATCGATCTTTACTGCGCATGTTTTTTTCTTTCTTAACATCAGGTTTCTCAGAAGACCCTGTATTTTTTTTACCAAACACTTTCTTTAACTCTAGTTCAGTAAGAGTTAACGGTAAATTACGCACGCAGAGTCTTGTCGTTGAGACATTTTTTTTTGGATTCTGAAGTTTAATCTTCTTTTCTGCCTCTTTTTTTTGACGTTTGAGTAAATCAGCTTTATTGAGAYCTTTGTTTTTTTCTGATCCTGCGTTTATTACACCTTCACGAGCCAAGTTTTTTTTTCTTTTGTCTTTTGGCTCTTTCTTGTCATCTTTTTTTTTTTGTCTCAGTTGCGATGCCTTGCCTCGTGTTACAGCTTTTTTTTCTTGAAGTTTATGTCCATCTAGAACAAACACTAAATTTTTTTATGCAATCAATCAATCAATCAATCAATCAATCAATTTTTTTTTCAATCAATCAATCAGCAACACATTTCTAAATACTTTTTTTTCATACTTACCACTGCTATCAATACTGCTATCAGCCTTTTTTTGATCTACACTTTCTAACAATTTAAATTTAACAAAATTTTTTTCTTTGCTATGGTCTGTGACTGGGTCAGTGACAATCTTTTTTTAAGATATATCGCCATACTTTTTGAACAACTTGTAATTTTTTTTTTCAGTTGTATCATAATTCACATTTCGGATGAAATTTTTTTATCCCTCCTTCACATCTGATGTTTTTTTAGCTGACTTTTTTTTGTCATTGTTTTCTTCATCAGTATCATCAAGGTCATTTTTTTTCTTGCTGTCATCCTCATCATCACTCTCTTCTTCCTTTTTTTCCTCATCATCATTCTCTTTTTCCCCGTCACCCTCATTTTTTTTCTCTTTTTCCCCATGTTTCTCTACTTTATCCCTTTTTTTTTCTTCTTTCTCTTCATCTTCCTTCCATTCATCTTCATTTTTTTTCTGTGCATTGTTTTCATCATCTTCCACAATGTCTTTTTTTTGAGTTGCCTGTTCTTCTGTGAAAAGAAAAAGATAGTTTTTTTTCTTATAACCATTTCACAGTAATACTATATGATGATTTTTTTAATGCTGATAAGAAATACAAAGTCAACAGAATAATTTTTTTTTTCATTCAAATTCCTTTTCATATAAAACTACTTGATTTTTTTTGTGCCATCAAACACGTCTGACAAGGTGACACCATTAGTAGGAGAGGGTAATACAGCACATTTTGTATGACTGTGCATTTTTTTAGATCACAACACRGACACAACAAAGCACGATCACGTTTTTTTCCTGGTAGTGATCCAAATAATATCATCACATCACCTTTTTTTCACGGTACAGACTCGGCACGAAAATGCAGTATTTTTTTTTTTGTTATAAAAAATCCGCTCTATTGATGATAATTAAGTTTTTTTAAAAAATTTTGACTTCAATAAAAAAGAATATTTCTTTAAATCTTATCACACCTTTTGAAACCTGCATAAGATCATATTTTTTTTTGGAAAGAGCCCAGTCTACAGCAATAGGACGACCATTTTTTTCCTTAAGATTCATTTCTTTCATAGCCTTTGCAGCATTTTTTTCATCAGAAAACTGCACAAAAGCAAAACCTTTGTTTTTTTTTTGGTTAGTATCCATGGGAACATGAACCACTACTTTCTTTTTTTATTGGGAAAACACTTCTCGCAACAGACCTTCTGTGCATTTAAACGACAAGTTTCTAACAATCAGTCTGGACTTTTTATTTTTTTTTTCTAWGGATTTGTTGTACTCCTTGGATTTGAGCTTTTTTTTGACTTCTTTTCCCTTGATGGTTTTATGGTTTAGTTTTTTTTAAGCTGTTCTTGCTGATTTTGGAGTAGAATAAGTTTTTTTTTCTACTGGCTCATCCCTTCCTTCAACTGGGAAAACTTTTTTTTCAATTTCTCCAATCTTGCGGCATCTTTTRTAGAGTTTTTTTTATGATATGGACGCAGGAAGACCAAATACAAGAACATTTTTTTCAGCATCTGTTTCAGGTTGTGATCTTTCAGATTTGTTTTTTTTCTTTTTCTTGGTTAGTTTTTCTGTGAAACAAATTTTTTTTTTAAGCATACATTGAAAATCTCTAAACTTTTCATTCTTTTTTTCATTGGAGAAAACACTTTAACAGTTTACTTTCACTTTTTTTTTACAGAATATCCTGTTACTTCATATCACATTGAATTTTTTTTATTTGTATTGCTTCTTAAAAAGGTGATCTACAAATTTTTTTTGTGCAAGAAAGCAACAGGGCATCTTGTAACTGCTGTTGCTATAGAAACCTTGATTATTATTGAAATCACCATCATCGTTTTTTTCATGATCTTGATTGCAAATTTCTTCCTGTTGCTTCTTTTTTTTGTTGTCAGGTCTGTTTGTCCTTGGCTTYTTTTCGTTTTTTTTAATTTTAAGAGGTCTTCCCTGYARYGTTTTCACTTTTTTTTTTGCCTTTTGTGCATCTTCTTCGAAAGCAAAGGTTTTTTTTTCAAAYCCCTTGCATTTTCTCGTACCATCTAATACATTTTTTTTTGTTAATTTCAGACATAAAAAACACTAATTTTAATTTTTTTTACACATTATAAACAAATTGTAATTAAGTTTAAAATTTTTTTTTGATAGCACGTGGGAAATTGATTGGATAATGTTTTTTTTTTCAACCCTTTTCTCTGATCAAAAAGCTCTTTCTGATTTTTTTTATATCGCTGAATGCTTTCTCAAACTCATCATCTTTTTTTTTTTAAGGAAGATTTTTCACAAATAGAACTTTTTTCGCAATTCTTGGCTGTTTTTCTTCAGCTGAATTCTTCTCTAACAATTTTTTTATTTTGACTTTTAAAGACACCGCTGAGACTCTACTTTTTTTTCATCTTTTACTTTGCATATCAGCTGACTTTGTTTATTTTTTTCGTTAGTAAACATCCAAGATGGCGGACACAGAGCTTTTTTTTTTCAGTCTTACAAACATTAGTGAAATCGAGGAAGCTTTTTTTCAGATTCACTTAAAAGAGGTATACAAACATTACATTTTTTTTAACTGAAAAAATCTTATCGGAAACATTGAAATCATTTTTTTTAATTATGTGGTTTTGAAGTGACTTGCTACGTGGACTTTTTTTCTGAGCATCAGCCTTTTTGCAAATGTCGTTCAAAATCAAGTGAAAAAGATAATGAAATTAAGCTAGATATTTGTTTTTTTTTTTTTTAGATACATACACCAATTGTTCATGATTGTATTTATAGTTTAACTAGTTATAAATAAGTTTTTTATTTGTATTGTTTTTTTTAACATCTAAACAACGAGCTTGATGCCATTCTTGAGTTTTTTTCAAGACTWGATGCAAAAATGAATACGCTGCAAAATTTTTTTTAAGTTTTRGTTACTTTATTTCTGAACGTGCATCCATTTTTTTTAAATATTTTATTGTTGCTATCTCCAGACCTAGTCTTTTTTTAGTAATGAGGGACGCTAATCACCTTTATTCGATGATTTTTTTCACATCCGACTTGGCAGAAAAGGTCAGCAGTAAAGTTTTTTTGTTGGATCTTGTAAAGGTACAGTAAATTACTGTAGTTTTTTTATGTATTTAAGTGATTCTGTATATCAAGCAAGGACTTTTTTTAACTTTTATCAATTTTTTTTATATTATTTGTTCATTTTTTTTATAGAGTCCAGGATACAATAAAACAAGTTGACGATATTCTAGATCTTAAGGTTTGTTTTTGTTGATGGTCTTCCTTTTTTTTTTGGAATTCCAACATCTGTTTACATTTCCATTCAGGCTTGTGTTAATGGAGTCCAAACAGCATTGAATACTGAAAACTATTTTTTTGCTGCAGCCCATATTCATCGGTATCTAAGCCTTGATTTTTTTATATTAAAGCAGTTGATTGGTGATACAAATGAAGGTTTTTTTCCTGGATTATAAATAAAAAAAACACACACGCACAATTTTTTTAAATGTCTGTAAAATGTTAAATACTGTATTGATGATTTTTTTATTTTTAGGATCTGATTTAAGTGGAGCATTTGTGCTTTTTTTCGAGGCTGAAGTCAAACTGAAAGGCATTGTCAATGTTTTTTTTGACTTGGCTCTTAAACATGGTGATAAAAACGCTATTGACAGGTAAGACCAACTCAAATAAGTAATACTTTATGAATTTTTTTTGAATCAGTACATGATATCTCTTTACAGGTTTTTTAAGATCTTCCCACTTATTGGACAGTACCAAACAGGACTGGAAATTTTTTTAAAGTACCTTTGCGGCCAGGTACAAATACAAAGCATTTTTTTATGAATAGAATACTAAATAAATGAATAGATGGATGTTTTTTTGATGGAATGGGCAGATGAACAAACAGATGGCCTTATAAAAGGAAGAAGGAATGAATTGTATTAAATGATGTCATAGGTTTTTTTTCATAAATGGACTGGAATGTGAATTGATAAGTGAATGATTAGATACTGACTGAAGAACTATAATTTTTCTGATTAAATTTTTTTCACTAAAGTCACAAAAGAATCTAGAACTGGCTGAAACAACAAAAGAATCAGGTAAATTGAATGATATTTTAAGAATGTTTTTTTTCATTGGTAACTAATGTTATTTGTTGCTGTTTTAGTTTTTTTTAGCAATGTTGTGTTTGCAAACAGTCTTACAATGTTATTTGAGAATATTGCAAGGATTGTTGAAGAACATCAGCCATTTTTTTTAACATTTTATGGTAAAAAGTCCTTTCTCATGCTCGTTTTTTTTAGCTTTGTATTGATGAAGTAAAACTTTATTGTCTTTTTTTTGGACCAGGAAGAATGTCCACATTGCTTTTGGCATTGCAGGTAAGCCTACATTACCTGGACACCTGTTTGAATTATAGTTTTTTTGATGTATATTCAAATGCATTGTTGGTTGATTGGTGTTTTTTTTGACACATTGATTGAATGATTGATTACCTTTTCAATTTTTTTCTGAGTGTGACAAACAATCGTCACAGATTCTTGACTTTTTTTATAAGCAAAGAGGGGTGAAGACTAAGGTTTGTTTGTTTTTTTATTTTGAATTTTGTACAARCCCMTTTGAATATAGTTTTTTTTACAATACTTGCAGCTGAAAGCAGTGAGCAAAAGTCTTGGAATGAAAGGAATATCAACAAATCAAGAGAGGTATCTGATTTTTTTTTGGGTTGTTTTATTACTCTCATCATTCCTTCCATTTTTTTTTTCATTCCATGCATCCATGCAAATGTCCATGTTGATTTTTTTTTCATTTTTTTCTCTTCACCTGTCCCTTCCATCCTTTTTTTTATTTTTCTTGTCCATGTACTGAGAAGCATATTAACTTTTTTTATAGATATGATCCCCGTGATATGGACATTCTTCTTTTTTTTTTGGTCCTTATGAATGCTAGGACAGAATTGTACCTATTTTTTTTGGAAAATAAAATTCTGGTATGAAACATGTACATTTTTTTTTATTTTGTATGTTTGTATTGTATGCATTTATGATATAGAAATGAATGATTTGCGCATCTTTACAAGTTCTAGTTTCCTTTTTTTTTACTTGAGGCACAGATAAAATAAATCAATAAATCATTTTTTTTAAAACTAAGAGAAATATCCCACAATAGATTCTTCTACTGTCTCCTGCTTGGCTTTTGTTCTTAACCATAGGAGGAGACCATGGAAGAGTTAAAGCAAGTGATGATGATGATGATGATGATAACCATAGGAGGAGTTTTTTTAAGAGTTAAAGCAATTGAACCAGGAATGCAGTATCTTTTTTTAGAACAACAAACCATTGTTTGACAAACAAATTAATTTTTTTTATTCAGAGCGACAGTGAAAATCTACCTGAAGATGAAAAAGAAAAAGGTATAATGAATGATAATAATCATATTTGATACTCTATTCACAACTTTCCATACTCAGGTTCAGTGACCACRAATTTTTTTTTGAACYRAGGYGTCGGATCTTTTCCKTTATGCTCTTTTTTTATGGTCAMTGAACCTYGGTATGGAAAGTCCTCAAATTTTTTTTTGTGAATGGATTAAGTAACTTTAATAATAATACTTTTTTTTTGCATGTTTTTTTTTTGTCTTTGTTTTAGATACAATTTTTTTTTTCGATAAACTAGTTACTAATAGTGGAGTAAATATTTTTTTGCAGGTGAGTGAGAATATTTTTTATTAAAAACACATTTTTTTCTTTCCCTAAAACTAATTTTATATGTATATTTGTATTTTTTTTGCTTATTGGTTCATACATTACTATGGAGGAATATTTTTTTTAAGAAACAGCTATGAAGGTAATAAAAAATATATTTTACTTTTTTGGAATTATAGAGTTCTCAACATTTACCTTTGCATTTTTTTAAGGTATCTCGCTTCAATACAAAGGGATGGCTACCTTTTTTTATGGCACAGGGAATCCATGAAACAGACAGGGAACATTTTTTTATGCTCTGAATAAAATTGAAATTTTAATCAACTAATTTTTTTTCTGTTATTAGTATATGATTGAATTCTTGCTTCACTTTTTTTCTGTGCGCATGGATTACTTTGAAGGAGATCAGAATTTTTTTTTCACATCAAGCATGGTTGATGATGTCTTTTTTATTTTTTTTTAATCAGTAAGGTAACTATATGGACTTTCCTGGTATTTTTTTTGAAATGACTTTCCAGGTATTGCCTGGGAAATGACTTTTTTTTTATTGCCTGGGAAATTACTTTCCWGGTATTGCCTGTTTTTTTACTTTCCAGGTATTGCCTGGGAAATGACTTTCCTGTTTTTTTCTGGGAAATTACTTTCCAGGTATTGCCTGGGAAATTTTTTTTATTGCTGTATTTATTCCAGGCGTTCTTTGTCAAGTTTTTTTTTTGATGCAGTTTGTGCCATGTTGAATCATGCAGGGTTTTTTTGGATGCTGACAATTTGTAACAATTATAAACAAGGATTTTTTTAATATACAGAATATGAGATTCAATAACATTATGCATTTTTTTTTATGTTTCATTTCACACAGAGCTTTTCTTTCGTCTTTTTTTCGAGATGTCTTGAACTCTAAAATCAAATCAGGCTTTTTTTTTGGAGGGTAAGGTTTATGATGTCAATGAAGCTGTTGTTTTTTTTTTATACATTTCCTTATTGCATTTTATCTGATACGACAGCATAGACCTGTCTGGTATGTTTCAAGGGAAAATTCAAGTTTTTTTGTCATCCACTGCTGAGAGTGATGCTGCAAGGAAAGTTTTTTTGGTAAGACTTCAACAATGTCAATATTGATTACTGTTTTTTTTAGCATGAATAAGACAGCCATAGTTTGGTATTGTGTTTTTTTTCTTTTTAAAATGTGCAACATTCCCCTTGCCACCAAAGACTATAGCCATGTATTGTGTTTATTAGGTTACAYTGAACATTTTTTTGGTCAGCAGTCAGAATATTCAAAAGTTAAAGAATGTTTTTTTGGTCAGAACACTATTGATAATCCTCTATCATGTGATTTTTTTACTAACTACTTTTCTTGGTTTTGTAGATTGAATGCTTTTTTTACCCACACCTTGGTGATGCTGCTAAATTGAAGCTTGAGGTGACTGAAAACTATTATCTTTGCTGTGACTAAAAATTATTTATAAACTGTTTTTTGTTCATGAAAGCCAAGTTAACTAAATTTTTTTAATATGTTAATATATCATAGAGCTGTTTATCTGACTTTTTTTCCACATCAGATATTTTCAAGGATTTACTACAGGTATTTTTTTTATTGAAATATCATAATAATAAGCTGAATGAATTTTTTTTTTTTGCAATAGATGCTTTATTTAATAATTAGAACAGGTTTTTTTCCATACAAAGTTGTGCTGTATAAGTAATAAAATTATTTTTTTTAATTATTTTTTTGYCACCTTTTTGCAAGTCGGCCTTTTTTTATATCTTGTTTGTCGTCTGTAGGGTGGTATTTATCTTTTTTTCAGTAGTGTTGTCATCCCACGGTTAAAACCTTTGATTGATGGATTCGTCTCTATCAATCACAACATAACAGAGGTATTTTTTTTCTAAATCCAGCCATGTATAGTAACTGTATAGTTTGTTTTTTTTTGTTTTGATAGATTATTTTGAATTAGTGATCCAATTTTTTTTTTCCTCTTTCAGGAGGAGTTTGCTTACTATGAGGTTTTTTTTCCTTTTGTGCAAAATTTGATCACCAACATGGATGTTTTTTTGTCTTCATTTAAGGTATAAACTCCCATTGCACTTCTTTTTTTTTCTCCCATTTTATTTTCTTCCTTTCTTTCACTTCTTTTTTTCATTTATCTGTTTATATTGTGTTTTTTTCTTGTCCTTTTTTTCCATTAACACCAAGTAACAATGATTCTCTAGTCAGTTTTTTTACAACAGAAATCACAATTCAACTTGAAAAAGCTGTTTTTTTTAGCAGTTTTA